CGTTCCTCGGTCGTGATTCTCGTTCCTCAATCGTGACTCTCAATCATCAATCGTGATTCTCAATCATCAGTCTTCTTTCTTAATCCTAGCAATCCGTCATTCTCAATCATCAGTCGATTTCTCAACAGGCAGTTGCAAACTCAATCACTTTTGAATGGTATGGCTTGCCATACAGTAACAAGTCGAGTTTGAGATTTCAAAGTGGCAAAAATATGAACTATAAATGACAATTTTAAATACGAATGTTCAAAAACAATTCATGTTCCCAAGTCCATACTCCCGAGTCCATATTCCATTGTCCGTTCTAACAGTCCGTTCTAACAGTCAAATCAAAAGATTTTTTTTTCAGGCACTTTGGACAAGAATGTAAAAGGTATTTCAAAAATTACATATTTTATATCTACTGTCTGCATCTGCTAAGGTCAAAAAGGTTAACAGGTTAAACGAAACTATCGAATATAAAGATGAGCGATCGAATTTTCAAACGAACTGTTACTACGAAAGAAAGAGACTTTTACTCTTTAAGTTATGATTGAAGCTTATGAATAGCTAATCTATCTAGTAATGGAAATATCCACGATTGTGCATCATTTTGTCTTATACGAGGGTGGTGGTGACGTCCGAGTTGATGTCAATAATGTCTGGGTAGGTTTATAGCTAATCAAAGCAATTTTATTTTACTAAAGAGACATGTTTTTGACAAATCAACCTCGAGCTTTAGACATCTCGTGTACTTAAGTCACGTTTTGATGCATTTGGAGGTCGAATTCAAAGCAGTTTTCAGGCTGCATAAAAGGCTCGACCTTCTAAAACTCTGTGTGACACCGTTAATCCTAATGTGTGCTGTTTAGAATACATCAATCAAAAATATAAACCTGGAGTGGGAATTAGCATTTCAGATACGCTAAAGAAATCTTTGAAGAAAAAAAAAAAGGTGCTTATTCAGAACCACACAGGCTCTCTGAAACAATTCCTGTCACAAACTATCACGGTATAAGAAAATATTTTTCTCAAAAGAAAAACTGTTTGTAATCTTACTACTCTAAAATAAATAGACGCTATTTCGGACCACGCTTGACTTAATATTCAGACGTCTCCACGATCAAAACCCCGCCATAAACAGTCCATAAAATTTCCATAAGTCTAATTTTATGAATAATTGTTTTCGACATACACATCTCTTCCGCTTCGAAGAGCAATTATCTTTATTATCAATGTTTTTAATGTCATTTTTATACACTTTATTCTTTGAGCATAAAGATGTTTCGAGTTGAGGACAATATCAGAGTGGATAAATCATGATTTCCAACGTTGCGCCGGTCGATCTTTTAAAAAAATGCTCGTAAAACGCACATAAAAAATGACAATTATCCTAGTTAAAATAAGTGACTGTGACTGATCCTAATGCTTTTTCTAATAGCTATTTTAGATTAAGTGAAAATGACTTTGCAGTCAATAAGATGTATTCATACAAAAGAGCTTAACYGTATGGTCAGCGTTTTACACTTCAAGTCACGCTAAAGCTTTGAATTGGATTATTTAACTAAGAGTAATAGTTTAAATTAGTAACCTCTACTGGGCTAAAAGCTCTTTTGTTGTGCTGTAATCCTGTGAATTTTGTCGGTAAATTTGAGTTTTTTTCAAAGGAAATGCTTACCTTTCGGCGTGTGATCGCCAGGGAAGTGAGCTAAAGTCACCACAAAGAAAGTAACAATCGACAAACACTCGACGAAAATCCGCATTTCATGTTCTTTCGCAAAATCAAAACCTTGAAAAACTACTTGAAAAGAAGTAACTAATGAAGGAGAATGAAGAGAATCAGTCCAGAATGAATCAACCCATCTACACGACCATCTCTCTTACGAACCACGCGTCCATTGCTGTTGATATTGCTATTCAACGCACGTCAGGCACAAATATTACTTGAATATTTGTAGAGTCGACCGAAGTAACAGCTTTCATATGGCAAGTTTGGGGTCAAATAAGTCGTACTCTCACCCAAGGTGTTTCCGATACTCCAAGGACTTCTGCTCTCAAACAACGCTGTTCTCAGAATGCGGTACTTGGACCATCACTGATGTTATTCAACCCGTTATTATACAATTCATGAATAATTCTTCTATCACGCTGGGGTGGGCCAGTGGCCTAAAAAGCCACTTCTATAGACAATACGAGGGGGCAACCAGATTAAACTTTTTACATGTAACAACTTAAACAAGAAATTCTTTTATGATTTTAAATTATTTCGAGATAAGAAAAACTTTCAATGTACGGGCCAACGAATAAGTCGTGAGATTGCCCAAAAATTTACTCTACCGACTGATGTGAATGTATTTTTCTATTTTTTTACTTGGCGGTTCATGATTTCATTTGACGCAAATTCTCCTGTCAAAACGACAAGAAAATGCTAAATTTAACGCGCTTTAAATTGAGGAAAAAAAGATTATTTGCAAACTAAAACAACAACAACAATTCCTGGCCCGTTTAGCAAAAAAAGTGTAAGAAATACATAATTAATCCAGATCAATTCTAATGAATGGATATTTAATAATTCAACTATAAACCCTCGCTTACGTGCATTGAATTATTGATTGAGAAAATAATACATAGAAATCAATTTGGAAGGCTTTTTTAGTGTATTTTATTTAATGTTTGAGTGTGCAATTTGTTGAGGTCGAGCTACTAATAAAATATATACTTCATCATTTTACCGCAAAACCTCCCGCTGGCTTTGTCTCGCCTCGCCTCATCTACAGCGACTATGAGACTGTAGGTATTAAAGTAAGTGCGATATATTGTAAAGTATGGGAAAGTTTTATTCAAAAAATATTAAAAAAAAAAAAAGATAGATTCGAAAAACTCTGTGGATGGGTAAGCCCGTGGATTTGTTGCAATTTAAGAAGCCAAGAAATTCTATTCCTTCTCGTAGTTCTACCCCCCTCATTCATTCCTCCAGATACACACGCACACACAACACGACAACCAATATAAAAAAGAAGAAAAAGAAGAAAAAAAAAGAAGAAAGAAAACTCTAAGAGATTCGGTATGTGGGTAGCCTGTGCTACTGTTATAATTTATTCGGAAACCATATCAATGTCATCGTTTTGGAATCCGTTGTCATGGTGAATCGTTCTATAGAACAACTAAATGGCTTCTCGAGAAAGTCAAAATAAGTTAACTTTAGAACCATTTAGCGGATTAAATTAAAAAGATCGCCAAATTCAAACCGATGGCTCAAACAAAGAAGAAGAAGAAAAATATCAAGTCCTTGCCGTTCGATATTTATATTCGTCTTATGCCAACTGGAGAAAAATTTCTCCTCAAGAACGTTAACTCCGAGATGAAGGTTCGCGAACTAAAGTGCTACGCTGAACTAGTGGTTGGAATCCCGAGTAATTTACAGAGACTTCAGTATTTAGACGAAGGAGATATGATGGACGATTCAGATTTAAGATACAACGATGTGGTCGCTGGTGCTATGATAAAACTAAAAATATGGCGGGCATGGGAAAGCCTTATCGCAGCTGCTGCGAGAGGCGACATTGAAAATGTCTTTAAGCAGGATATTCAGGTTTCTAAAGATTGGGAGAAGCTTGACCCTTTGGTTTTCAAGAATAAAATTGCTATCACGAACGATAGGGCAGCTGTTGCTTTATTTATAGCAACCCATAGAGGGAATATGGAGTTGGTTCGAAGTTTGTTAGATAGTACGACAGCTGATGTCAATATGAAGACCCCGTTTGGTAGAACACCTTTACATGTTGCATCTTCACAGGGACATTCTCTTTGTATTGATACTATGTTAGAGAAAGGGGCTTCTATAGATGAACCAGACGAACAAGGAAAAACACCACTTATGATTGCAAGTCAGTGTGGGTTCAAGGACAGTGAAAGACATTTGTTTTTATTTCAATGGCAGACCAGAGCAGCGAAGATCAAATCTCGAAAGAAAAGCACCTCGCTGATGATGCATCAACAGTTTGACTCAAAATTCCCCATATGGTTCAAAGGGAACCATGCACAGGTCTATTATTGTCAGACCCTACCCCCCGGGGAATTCGCAGGGACAGGACTAAATGCACCCCCTCTAAGGAAGAATAAGGGGAGTTCACATGAGAAACAGCAGAGCCCAGATATTGAACTGCCACCAATTGCTGAGCCACAGTATGGAAGTAATGGTGAGTGAGAGTGCAGACTATTTGAAGACTTACTTGGGGGAGGGGTAGGGGGTTTGGGGTTTGCCTAAACCCTCTAATTGCAACTTCAATGGAAATAGAGTGTGGGTATGATGATCATCAGTGATGTACCCCTTACAACATGCACATTTTACTGATGAAACTTCATGACAAAACTTCTGTTGCACCACACTCAACCTACAAGCATAGTGTAGGGGCTAATCCAAGGACTTGGCACAAGGGTGCCTTAGAATGACCGCTCCTTGAATCTCTTTGTACATTTTCATAAATTATAGCGTGCATTCAGTCAAACTGTTGAATAGTTGACGTCACCTAAATTAAATAAGTTAGTTACTATTTTAGCTGACCTCACATAAATTTGAAACTACGATTAAACAGCTACTGAGATCAGGGGGAGAAACGATGATACAAATGAATGTCTATTCACTCATTCTCTGGTGAAACAACCCCCCGGATTAGCATGACCGTTATTTGGCACGCTTTTACTATTTTAGGTGATGTCAACTAAATAGTTATCTAAGTTTAATAGATACATTTATCTAACTATTCATCAGTTCGTCTGAATGCATACTAACATGTTTTGGGGAGGAGAGGGATTGGTGATGATTTATAGGGATTAGTGGGGAGTGACACCCCATCATGGAAAATAATGGATACATTTCTTGGGGAGGGGGAATCTACATACAGTTTATACTGAACTAACAAAATTTTCATTGTTTGTTCCAGTCTCGCCAAACTCAGTTCGAAGAAGAGCTCAACCAAGTAGTAGAATACTAAGCAGGTGAATATGACATGAGGATTTTTATGGACAAGTTTTATGGAAGTCACTAATAATTTTACATGGGGAGAAAGGATGGGCATAATAGGCCCTTTGCAGCTCAGTAATCACGTGCTGATTAATTCACTGAGAGCAAATGAATGAACATCTTGATTCCCATGGGTGAAATATACTTGTGAGCAAACAAAACTCCTACAACCTGTTTTGAGAGATCGTAATAAAACTGCATTTCGTGACACACTGGTTGCACATCGTTTCATTCAGTTCTTTACAAGTAGCTAAAAAGAATAACCAATTTAAAATAAAAACAAAAATTTTGCTCACCAGTACAGACACATGAGCGTTAAAGGGGCACTTGGATGAAAATCAATGAAAATTGGAAATGACTTGAAACTAGTTTAAACTTATCTATATGGCCCAGATAGCAGCCAAGCAACGTTTCCTTCACAGTCAAAAGGGGTGGGAAAAAATTATCAATATTGTTCAGCATCTAAATTGTGAGTAAATGACGTCATTTAATCAATCCTATTGTTCTTTTCACTTTGGAGCCAAAATTTCTCATCTGCGAGTTGCTCCCAGGCTAAAATTTTCACTAATCAGATTTCCATAATTATAATTGAGTCACATTATCCTCGAATACTTCAATTATTTGAACTTTCAAAAATAGGGGCGTTTTCATCCAAGTGCCCCTTTAACTGCAAAGGGCCTATTACCATGGGCATTACCTGCCTTGCTAGTTATTGTAGATAAAATTCCATTTACCCACAAATCTAAAATATTATTATTTTTTGTGTTGTAGACATTAGCATTTTATCTGCAAGTAGGAATACTTGAACCCTAATTTTAATGGATAATATCCCAGGGACGGATCCAGGCGAGGGGTGCAGGGGGTGCTCATCTCACTTGTTTGACTTTGTGCCCCTAATTTGAAAATAACCAATACAAAATAATGCTTTTCCCCCTTTGCCTTCTAAGGGGTGCAACCCTCCCTGAACAAAATCTTGGATTCGCCCCTGATCACTTTTTTTCTTTTTCCTGAACAATACATATTCTCATTGTTTGCTCCAAAAGCCGTAATGGCTCATCTAAAAAACAGCTCATCCATTTATCCATGATTTTTAATCTAATTCTTGGTGTTATTTATAAATACAGGCATTACCATTTGATCTGCTCCCTACCTGCATCTTATTTTTAGTGTATTAAATCCCATTTTTCCACAAGTCTAATTTTCATTTTTGTTGTTGTATCATTCAGTAAGTCTCAGAGCTCACTAGCAAGCTCTAAGTCATCAACATTTGATGGTTGGTTGCAAGCAAAAAATGAACAGAAAAGAAAAGAACTGCAGAGGAAAAGAGAAGAACAAGCAAGAAGAGATCTTGAAAATGAAATGAAAAAAAGAGGAACGGCAGGAAGAAGTTTTGAGGACTGGAGACAAGCCAAACAAAGGCAAAAACTTTCGCCGATACAGACTGAATCCAAAAAGGATATTGCATTGTACAAAGATGATGTTGATGTTGACTTTCATATGAGTTTTCAACAGTGGTTGAGGTTGAAAAGTGATGCAAAGAGTGAGATGACCCATACTGATGTTTACAGTTGAGTCTTGCCTTGGATGCCCTTTTGGCATCCTTTTGACACAAGGAAAGCAAAAGTGGCAGATCCAGGGAGTGGACACCCACCACGTAAGCCTGCGAGGTGCCCTTTTTACCAGCATAGTCTCCTTGAAGGGCCATACACTAATGTGGGACAGGTTACTGTGAATGTCATAGGCCTGACTCCTGGTAAATGTGCATAGCCCCATGCCAGTGACCTCCAGGTTAAGGGGTTAAGCACAAGGACTAACAACCCTACCCTGGTGTTAAAGAATTTGATTCCAGAAGCCAATGATGCGCTTCAGGAAATTTGCTACCAAAGATTTGAGAAACAACTGGTGAAAAACATTGCCATAGTGATGCATTGCGGAAAACACCATGACACAGGATCTTTATATTTGAGTCTTTGATCATCATTATCATAATGATGATCATTATTATCATCATGACATCATCATGGCATCACTTATCATCATCATCATCAGCAGCAGCAGACGTATCTTGTAACATGCATCATTAGCAACATCATCATCATCACCATTAGCAGCAGCAGAGATATCTTCTAACATGCATCATCATCATCAGCAGCAGCAAAAGTATCTTCTAACATGCATCATTACTATTAACATCATCATCATCATCAGCTGAAGTATCTTCTAAAATGCATCATTAGCAACACCAGCACTGTCATAATGGCAATTATCTCCCCCACAAAATCATCACTGTTGTTGCATCAGCATCACCATAGACTGCAACATTATCAATACTTATAATATAATAAGAAACAGCTATAGTATCCATCATCATCWTCTTCTTCATATTCTAATAGGCATGCATGCATAACAGCATTCAAGCTAAGGACAGAATTTTGTCAATAACACCAAAAAGTAGCAAGACAATTTATTATCAGAAATACTTATTTATTGAAATATTTTTTCATAAAATGTGCGATGCAGTGCTAGGCATAAATGGGCATACACATACATAATGACATGTTTCTAAAATGTTTACTATAAGTACAGAGTAAAGAAGTGTTTTGAAATGTGATTGTTTTAGACTATCTAGTTTCAAACTAGTTGCTCTGCAGGAAATTTTCTTAGGTAGATACATTTTTCCTCACCAGAATTATACAATTATACAATTACAGTAAGGTTCAATGTTGTTCCTAAGCCAAATATTTATGTCAGGTACTATATAACTATCTAAAATGTTATTTTACGAAAGAAATATGCTTGAATATTGTTTGCATAATTTAAGATTTCAAAACTTTGAATGTCAAAGAACTTCCTGGGCTCCAGAGCTTCCATTTCGCATCCTATGGTTGTAACGAGTGAGCACTAAAAATTCATGTCAGCAAAAGCCAGAGGGAGAATAAAATGACCTCTGGACTCCAGGGTAGTCAAAGAAAAGCAACTCAAGAAAAAAAGTATTCACAACAAGATTCTTTGAATATTCTTCTCAGTTCACGTGTAAAAATGCAAATCACATGAAGGTTAACCCAGCTAGGTTGAAATAAAACATTTTATCTGGAGAAGCTTTCACTCTTCAAATCTAACTTCAATTATAATTTCCATCAACTTGAGACGCAATATTTACACCATTTCCCGCCTTTTATGGGTTTCCTGTGGTAATGGCACAAGGAAAACTATAACTGTCACCCCCTTATAAAAATCCTGGATCCACCCCTGTTTGTTGGTGCAATTGACTCAATTATTCATTCAATCAGAATCTATACTAGCGCACTGGCAGTAAAACTATGAAATAAAACAAAGACAAATACACAAGACACCATTTTGTGTCTTGTTTAATAAAAGTTCTGGTTGAGTGATAGCAACTATAAGTCTCTAAATAGCTACTATTTGTCAGTATCAACTTTGTTTTTATTTCATGGTTTTACTGCATGCGCTATACAGCAGGGTTTTACATGGTATATGATTATCCTACAAATTTGCCATTTATAGTGTTCAGGGAAAGAATCTGCTCTAGAGTATAATACAGTACGTAGGTATGTTATGCCAAAATTAAATTACTATAACTAAAAATCTACCATTTATGGTTCAATATCGTTTTAGAAAAAGGACTCGGAATTCTCTCCAAATAATTATAAACCCACCCACTAATTATTAAGAAATTATTAATATCATTTCTAAAACATATACTATACTTATTGACAGGCTTTGTCTTCACTCCTGGAAATATCTTTCAGATGTTGCCCTTTACGAGATGCAATGTGTTATGATATTGCAGGCTGCATGTTTTGTGGAAGCAATGATTACAATGTCTTGAATGCTTTCTTGTAACATGACAAGTAATTTCCAAAATGTTTTTGAGATTGAGCATTTTCAGATGTAAACGATCAATCATTGATCTCCCAGTGCACCAATGTTGACAACTTTTCAGCTTTGTTCATTGTAGTTTAACAATCCAGTACTCCAAATAGTATATACAAATACACAAATGATGATTATATCCCGAGAAGTTGAAGCAACGTGTTGTAGTATGAGTAATATTTTAAGCTTGAACGATGAAAAAAGGACATGCTACGCAGAATATTTATATTGATAGTACACCTGATTCATCGACAGTAGGATTTTCCTCATCATCACTATCGAGAATATCTTCGCCCATGAGGTGGTTTGAATACGCATGAGCGATAGTCGGAGATCCCGTAGGATTGGATGGAATTGAATTCAAGTTCGTCAAACTTCTTGATTTCGCATTTAAGCGATCGAGAGCAGTTCCAGCTTTTGGATTGTTCAGTTGGTTAGCTGGTTTTACAGTTATGATCAAATTATGACTGTTTGCTATCATCATATCTGTGACTTGGTCAAGAGTCTTTCCCGACACATCAATTCCATTGACTTCTAGAACCTCGTCATTAACAGCCAACAGTCCTGTACTCTCTGCAAGACCAAACGGAACGAGCCTTGATATAAAAATTCCCGGAACTCGTTCTAGTCCATTTGGGGTAACCCGGACACTTGTTCCATCTCGAATATAAAACCCTAGGGGTTTGTCCGAATTGTGTTTAAGCAGTCGTACACGCCGATGTGTTTCTGGTAATATGTCGACATCAACGATAGCTGATACTCGACGGAAGTCTTGCGGGGTGCTAATTGCCACTTTGTTGGTGTACGCTGATGACCTGTTTACGTTTGCTATGTTTGAAAAGATATTCTTTTTCCGTAACTGCACTTCAGGAGGAAGACCATTTTGTTCGTAACCTTCTCCTGAAACAATAATATCAATAAAAGGACAGTCAAAACTAATATTCTTTGTTTGTCTGCAATATATAATCTGTAAACTAGGCCTACTTGCAAGAATGTTGTCATACGATATAAGAACATTTGTAATTTAGTGAGAAAGGAATACATTAAAAGACAAAAGAAAAAGTTTAGCTTCAGTGATCTTCTTTTGTTTTTTAATATAATTCCTATCCCACTAAATCACTAATGTTCTATTTTCGTATGACAACGTTCTTGCAATATTATTGGTGTATACACAGTAGCTGTATTCATTCTTCATCCTCTTCCATACCTTCCCCCTCCCAGACAAATATTTCCCCCACACCACCCCATGTTATCTACCATAGGCCTTAAAATAATAGCAAGTTAATTGGCAGTTATGAAGACAAGTTAAAGAGTTTGGTCATACCTTATTTGCGACACAACATTTGTTGTAAAAAGGTGAAAAAATAAAGGGGTGAATGCAGAAAATTGACCTTATGCACACCCTGAATGTGTTATTTTTAAGTTGATTGGCATAGTTTGTTACAATCAAGTCATGCAAACTTGTTAAATAATATCACTAAAAAATAAACAACTTTAGTTTCAAAAAAATTCCTAACAACAGCTTTATTTACACAGTATAACTAAAACTCTTTCCTTTTACTACATTAAAACAATAACATCGTGAGAATAAACACTTTGAACTGTTCCTTTTGGCACAGACTCTCTTAAAACACAGATGCTTGTCATCAAAACGTGAAATCTTTTGATATAGGTTAGAAATGATTATCTTTTAGCAAAGATAAATAAATTTGGATGGCATTCAAAGATAAAAGGTCACTTAATGCTAACTGGTATTCTTATCATTGATATCAGCTACAGCTGTAGCTAGTTTTACTATATTTTACATGTACATATCCAATCTCTCAGCTATAAATTTATATATATTGGATATATTTGAAGGTTATTATCCATGTTTCACAAGTAAATAATCATTATTATAAGAGACAACCTTGTTAAAAATGATGCATTATATATTCTACGCCTATTCATTTATATATTGACAGAATTTATTATGACAAAGACAATTTATTATCACATAGGTAAAATGACACTTAGAAACTATTTAATATTCTCTAAGGTTTTAAGAGAGGTGAGTTAGCTCATGCACGGTTTGATATGAGTAGCTTTTTATACCATGATAAATGGATTATTGATAGATGTATAATAGATTGCAGCTGCGAAATCATTCAGGAAGTTAATATAAAGAAAGCCCAGAGGCTGCCTGACTGATTCTTGTCAGATAAGTTAAGCCTTGGTAATTATATTCTTCATTATCAAGTTTCATATCCTACAGGAAATGGATGGCAAATCTACATGGATATACTGTATGATAAAACTTTTGTCCACAGGAATTAAGTTGATAACAAAACACAAAGAAGTTAATATTTGTAGGAAACGATGCTGAATACCAATAATACTATTAGGATTAGCTATTAAACTGATATTCAGATAACTTGCTACAAACACAAAACAAGAATTTTGGGATTGTTGCAATAAAGAAAATATTTTAGCGTGAAAAGGTTTAGACAATTACTTTCAATATGCGTAGCTTAATTTATTTAATATTCTTAGAAGTTGTTTATTTCGCGACTTTAGCCAACTGTGGTAAACCATTAACCTAAGTTACAGTATATAACCATATAGGTGAACAGATAATAATTAATCACTCTCGATGAATTTTTGTTTTGGTTTGAAAGGACTCTTATTTGTCAAAAAATCAATTGTAAACAATCAAGTGTTCAATCAAGTACGTACAGTATACCAGAACTGCACGAGAAAGAATAATTTTCAAGCTTTACATTTGCTGCTGTAGTTTTTGGGCTACAATTTGTTTGCTGGTATAAATGAGATCAATTCAACAGTGCCGAGCAAAGTGTAGAATGATTTTTTATTTGTCACTATCTGAAAGGAACTCGGGGGGAAAAGCAGAGTCTCTGATAGGAAATGGCACAGTAGTTGTTATTTTATATTGCACGTCATATACACAAAATATTATAAATCTTGTATCGATGTCTCTTTACTCAAAAAAGTCGTAAGAATAAGAATACTTATGTATCATAAGAATATTCGTGTAATCCCTGTGTGGCTTCTTGAGAAGTTACTTCAATACTGCATGCAGTCATGCATGCATCACTGAACACCTAGACTATGAACTTAAATCAATTTTCAATACTTATTTAGTAGATTTTGTTTTAACATCATAATATAAGGAACCAATATGAGAGGACATCAGAAATCTTTGAGTAGAAAATCGTATGCATTTTCTACTGTATTTGCAGCTGATTACATTCAAGACTTATTATCTTACCTTTGCTTTTATCTCTAGACTTAAAACTATTATATCGAGAAAACATGATCTCACAAGAAGGCAATGAGTACTATCTTCAAATGATTACAAAGTTCTGATATTTTTTTGTGTCGCAGTGATATCAATGCATTTGTTATCAAGAAAAACACCTTTCTGTAGCTGGCAATTTAGTTTCAGGAAAAAGAAACTGGAAAGTGAATATTTCAGTTTTCAAACATTGAGCACATGTACAACAGATTTATAATTTGGTAAATTAAACAAAAGAGTTAATTCATGATAATCAAACTATCATACTTAATGAAATCATTTAAATAAATTTGAATAACAAAAAACTTAGTACTCAAATTTCAAATAACGTAGTAGCCTCAAAAGGAAATAGAAATATTTATATAAGGAATTTGTATCAATAGAATAAGTTTAAGTGGAATTGTGACCAACTCATCACAGATGACAAGTTCAAAAATTTGAATTTTTTAAAATGATTTTTTTAGTACGTGATCTCTGGCTTGATTAATATTACTATAACGACTTCTTGCATATTCTTGAAAGTAAAAGAATAAATCAGATTCTTGGACAATGCAAACGTATCTAAGATTTTTATTACGACAACTGCTGTGTGTGAAATTTAATTACAAAAATGCAGTTGTATTTCATTATATAAGAAACTCACTCTTAGTTACTCAAGGATTATTTTATAGAATAAATAGTCCAAATTACTGAGCAGAAAGAATATTTCTATGAAAACAGGCTTAAGTAATCAAAAAATCATCTAAAATGAATTCAAGTTTTATTTTTTACATCCCCTGGTGTTATTTGCCAAGTTTTATAGGACTATACGTACAATGGGCGGTGACTAAAAACATATTGAGATTCCTGTCTTGTTACTTTGCTATTATTAAAATAGATGCGGGTTAAATAACTGATATTTCTATGTCTAATTATTGTCTTACCTTTTCGTTGCACAAATAGTCGTAATAACGGCTTTGCACTAGTTAAAGCGACTTGTAAATTATCATCATTGTTGATTGGAAGCAAGTCTCCGTGATTATCGGTGTACCATGTCGTGAAAGGTGTATTTGTAAGTCTATGTATATTTTCAACGCGCTTGTAAAATTCCTCGTAGTTTTTATATTGATTCCTCTCTGATGAAAACCGTCTAAATTCTGCATCAAACTGAAAAAGCGCACAAGAAGTTAAGTTAATAATGTTCATACTTCAAAATCGAGTGACTTCGTGGACATCATCTTCAAAGTTTTCGAGTCACTTTTACAGATAAAAACCATCTTTTTTACCTTCGATTTGATTTCCACAGTACCAAGGTTTGTAATATTTCCAAATTTCTGTGTTCCCTTTTGTAATCTAGCCATTAGGGATGCAGTATTTGTAGAGTAAAATGTTTATAAGTGATTTCGAATGAAGAAAAAAATATTAACCCGATCGACGCGAATACATTCCATATAAAGAACGCATGCTCAGTAGAGCGATTAAGTAAGGATAAATGAATGCGCTGGGGGTCATAGTGCGGAAATATTTGTTTTCTTTTCTATTTGCGACTATCATAGTACAATTGACTTCAGGAAAACGAGGAATGTGGCAAAAAAACGCGAAAAAAATCACTTCCCTTCAAAATCTTTAAACTTCAAACTTCAAATTCCCTTCAATCAATTTAAATAAGATGTGATATTTCTTAAAGTAAGAAAAAACTAAGGCGAAAAAAAGAATATAAAATAAACAATTTCTTACACTTTTTGGTATTTATTTTATCGTACAAACGTAGAAAATTAAAACAGCTCAAATTCAAATTAATCATTTGATTAATGTCTTACGACGTAAGCGCGAACATAGCTCGAATGAACTCGAATGTAATACCAATGACGAAAATGTCACGAGGATGTTACGAATCATCGCCGGAAATAGAACACGCCAGCGGATTCTCCAATAGGAGTCTGGCGCCATTTTGAAAAATTTGGAACAGAAAAGCAAAACAAATGCCAACCAACGCTCAAAAAAACCTTGGTTAAAAACTGGTTTATAAGAAGCCTACTGCTTTGTAACTGCTTTAGTGGTGTCTCTGTAGGTTCAACATTTTCAAGTGGTGGAGTTTTAAACTTAAGTGATTCAAATGATTTATTTTGTCCGATTTTGGAAGAGGAAACGATTTGAGAGCTCAATATGGCTGGACCCAGTGGCTCAAGAGACGTTTCTCGCTCAATGAAGGCTAAAGAAATGTGCTGGATTGACTCAAAGATAACCTCAATGAAGGACTTAAACCTTTACAATGAACTCGTCTCACTTAACCTTCACTGTAACAACATCACAAGAATTGAAGGTTTGGAATCCCTGTGTAATCTGAAGCACTTGGACCTTTCGTCCAATCAGATTACAGTAATAGAAGGGCTAGGTGGGCTGACATCATTGCGAACGTTGAATTTATCTTGCAACAAAATTAAACTCATTGAGGGCATGGAAATGTTAAAGAGTCTTTGTAAATTTGACGCATCCTATAATTTTATAGACAATATTTCAGGTTTCAAGGACCTTCATGGCTCGGCATACTGTATATCACATGTTTATCTCCATGGCAACACACTGTCATCTCTCGACCATGTCATAAATTCTTTGGTTGGATGTATTAAGCTGAAGGAGTTAAGTTTTGAGTTGAATGGTGATTGCAACCCTCTATGTAAGATTCCTGGTTACAGATCAAGTATAATGTCAGCATTGAGAGGATTAGAGATACTTGATGGCTTGAACAGAAATGGACAGCCTGCTACTGTGCAAGATGAAGTTCATGATATTCCAGGTAAAATAATATGATGTAGAAATAAAAAACGCGGCGTGTGCTGTGTGCAGTTATATTAGCATGCTGGGGTTGGTAGAGCAACATTTTTCCTTCACAGTCAAAAGTGACGGGAAAAAATTATCAATTTTATTCAGCATCTAAATTGTGAGTAAATGACGACATTAGCCTGGGAGCCACTAGCTGTCAAGATACTGTATTTTGGGTTAAAAGCAAAAAGAACAATAGGGTTGAGTAAATGACGACATTTACTCAACCCTATTGTTATTTTTGCTTTTAACCCAAAATACAGTATCTTGACAGCTAGTGGCTCCCAGGCTAAAATTTTTACTAATCTGGTTTACATAATCATAATTGAGTCATATTATCCTCAAATACTTCAATTATTATTCAGACTTATAAAAATTGGGGTGTTTTCATCCAAGTGCCCCTTTAAAAACTTTTTATTATTGATTTACTAGAACTAGAAGAATATTTGGACTTCCTTTTATCATCAAGTTCTACAGAAACAAATAGTACAAGGGTAAGTTTCCATTAGAGCTGATTTTTGTATGACTGAGAAATGATACTGAGATTTCCAGGGGGAGGGTTGGAAAGGGGTATTCGCATGAAATCTTTATGGGCTGCATATATTTATATTTATATTTATATTTTATATAATTTGTGTGAACCATGATTGTCTTTCTTTAATACTTCATTTTACAGTTCCATTCAGTGACCACGAATAATAGTTCCAAGCCCAGGTTTGACTTGCAGCACATTGTAAAAAAAGTATAGTTTTGCTATGCGTGGAAACTGTTATTCATGATCACTGAAAGGAACTTTAAAATGGAGTAGTGTCTTGAACTGTGCAGAGACTCCCCTTTTATACCCCCTGAATTTCATATCTGTACCATTGTCATACAATATTTCATTTTGCCATGACTTTGACTGGATGAAAAAGCATCTTAATGCCAATGTTACAGCATACTGTACCATGTAATTAAGTGTTATATACTAATAACATGTATAAAAAAGGGCTATTAATATGCTAATACATTACATAAACAACAGTTTATTATTATATTGTGTATATCCAGAAATCATCCATACCCCCCCCCCCCTATCCCAGGGGAATTTGGAATATCCAAGGGGTAGGGGTATCAGAGAAAGAACAAAATTACAGAGTTTGTATGGAAGAAAATTGGAATTTCCAGGAGTAGGGGTGGGGGGGTCTTTAAAAATATTCCTCCATGGGTGGGAGGGGGGGAGGGAGGTTGGATGATTTCTGGAACTACACATTTTGTTTTTCAACATTCTACTCATGCCAATAATTTTGTTTCAACAATCAGGATGTTAGGTTCGATGTCGCAACTCCTAGAATTGATATGGTTTTGAACAAATTCAAGAGCCATCCTCCTCTGTCTTCTGATACTGAAGAAGCAACTGCAAGCACTTCTCCATCCACAGAGCCAGCAGCGTTTGATGTAAGTAATACAGCAATATTTTCAATATTACAGGAACTTGATAGTTTTGTGAACTTGCCTGTTGAAATTTGGCTTTTCTCCAATAAAAAAATAAGGTACCAACTGGTTTTTTGTGATTGACAGAAACAAAAAACCAAAAAAAAAATGTTTTTTCTTCCAGCTTGCAGTATTCAATTTGCATAATAGTCCCCTTCACAGTTTCCTGCGCCATCTTGAAAGGTAGCCTTGCCTTTGCATCGAATCAAGACGAACAGTGAGATTGCAATGATAGAGACCTTTTTAGGTTTGAAACACCTTTGACAATTATTCACACATCTCTGTCAGTGCAAGCTCACCATTCGTCTTGCTTCAATGCAAAGGCACGGCTACCTTTCAAGATGGCGCAGGGGACTGTGAAGGGGACTGTGAAGGGGACTATAATTGGGAAAAAAATGCTATGAGAAATATTTTAAATATTTTATGGCATTTTTGGATTGTACTGGATATTATATCAGACACCTCTTTTTGACTTTACTAATGATTTTTTAATACATTTGTGCAAATCAATCCCTTGAAGTTGCAATAATTAAACTTGGGCAAAAAGACAATAGACCTATCCTCAATTCCCTTGAGCGACCATGAAGCAATCGCTCCAATTCAAGGCTGGACTTGATGAGTTTATGCATCAACTGTTACTTTGATTATATCCATATAGAAAGGGCTCTATATAAATCATGAAATCATTAACTGTATTTAACAATTTTAATGTCAACTTGGAACCATTGCTTCGTGAATGCACTCAAGCTAATTTGGGAATGGTCTATTGCCTTGTCGCGCACCAATGCAAACCAAATTTGAGTCCTGCTGGGCTCGATGTCGTATGTGTGTAGAGTTGTTTGTTGGTTCTCTCCTGTGTAGTATGTGAGTAGAGTTGTTTGTTGGTTCTCCCCTGTGTAGTATGTGAGTAGAGTTGTTTGTTGG